CACCGCTGGCAGCAACCCTATCCGGAGCAAATCACTTGCTTTATCCCAGTTGTTCTCCTCCAGTCATGAGGAGCTGGAGACAAAAAACAATCCGCTGGCACTGGTTACATGTTTCAAGCCGCTCAGGTGGAAGCAGCTGTGAGAGTTCAGAGTACGTGTGACCACATTCTTGCTTCACATGCATGTCCTACCCCAGTCGCAACTGCCGACACTTGAAACAGAAACACCAACAAAAAACCTAGCGGGGTTATTTTCAGCTCACTAACTTTCGCACACTCACCAAGCAGGATTTGAGTCTAATAATTTGGTCTTGCTGTCACGTAGGTCTTATTTATTGCATTTTTATATATTCAAAACTCTGTGTGTGTGTGTTCGTCAGGTTCTGCTTGGATCCAGTTTCTCCTTGTTTCTGGAAATACTGACCTCCATTAGCAGCGTGAGCCCTGCAATGGGCTATAAATCCAACTCTACCCCCACAGTTTTCTTTTTTTTTTTATTGTGCTAAATATATATGTGATGAGACGTTTGCCATTTCAACAATCTTCTCGGGTACAGTTCAGTGACCTTGTGCTCATCATGTTGCCCCACTGTCGTTTTCTGATCCCAGCTTTCCCACTGCCATTTCCTGGCCCCTGGTTGCAACACACCTGTGATTTCATGTTATGCCCCCAACACTGACAGCTTGCCTGCCCTCGATATACCAGTTTCTGACATTCTGCCTTTGGCACACTCAAAATCCCTTTACACATCAACAGATTTCCATGGAAACCAAAACAAAGGGGAAGAAAAGACTGTTCTGGATTTCTCTCTGGTGTCGGATACTTGTTTTCATGTTTCATGTCCATTTTACAGTGGGTTCTTCCCATGGCATCCCCCAGAGAGGGCTTCACATAGGCGAGTTGTCCTCAACTCCTGTCAGCAAAAACCAGGGCCTGGGACGCGGCCCTTTCCAGCTTCCTCTCACAGGATCTTGATCATTAGGAGCAGTTCATTACTCTCAGGAGCAAGCACCTCACTTAAGACTAAGCCAAGGGAAGGAAGAAAAGAGTTTGCCGGCCAGTTTAAGAAGCAGAGGCTGGACCAGATGGCCTCTTGAATCTTGCAGTTCCGGGTCAGCTTGCCACAGATATCAGAGATCCTTCTGAAACCCACCTGGAGAGGATCCCCCCTCCTCTGAATTTTCCGTCTTTCCGTGCGGTCTGTACGTTTCTCCCCGACCTGTCTGATGTTAGAGATCTCGAATGTGTGTCTCATTGCCCAGCTAGACTGTGAGATCCTTGGTGACAAGGGTTTTCTTATAGCTCTTCACATATCTTCAGTGGCTAGTACAGTGCCCTGCCAGGAGCCCTGGTGGCTCAACCGTTAAGCACTCAGCTTAAGGTTGGTGGTTTGAACCCACCTAGTAGCTCCGTAGGAGAAAAGATTTGGCGATCTGCTCCTGTAAAGATTACAGCCTAGAAAACCCTATAGGGCAGTTTTACTCTGTCACTTTGGGTCGTTATAAGTCGAAAATCAACTTGACGGTACCTAATAATAACAACAGAGCCCTGGTGGCGCAGTAGTTAAGAAGTTGGCTGCTAACCAAAAGGTCAGCAGTTCGAATCCACCAAACCACTCCTTGGAAACCCTGTTGAGTAGTTCTACTCTATCCCACAGGGTTGCTATGAGTCAGAATTGACTTGACAGCAACAGAAACAGTAACAACAGTGCCTTGTACAGAGTAAATTAACCATCAATACTTCTTGTGTTGGAAAAAAATTTTTTTTTATGGCAGTAGAATGAAAAGTTGCTATATAGAATAGTGAAGGGGCTGTACCCTCTCATCGGGGGGCACACAGAGGCTAGACAGCCACTTACTGTGATGAATTAATAGGTTAGGGGTAGAAGATGTCGAAAGTCTTTTCCACTCTGAGATGCTGTGATTCCATAAAGTGTAGGTGTAGCCAGCACCGAGTCTAATGGTGGGAGGTAGGTTGTTGGGTCCTAGACAAGTGACTGGCCAGAAGCCACAGGGCTTTTCCGTTTGCTCTGTGGAACGAACGGTCCGCAGGCTGGGTGAATCTGTAACTAGTGGACTTCTCCAGCGGTGTTCCTTACTCCCCAAGTCGAGTGCTGGAGTATGTGGGGCGGGCACTTTGTACCGCACTGAGGCTTCAGCCCGTTCAGGAGGTGCAGGGAGAGCCAGAGGGAAATGGAAACATAAACCAAAACACCAAACCGAACCCAATTCCGTCTCACAGCGACCCTACAGAACAGAGGAGAACTGCCCCATAGAGTTTCCAAGGAGCGCCTGGGGGATTTGAACTGCTGATCTTTTGGTTAGCAGCCATAGCACTTAACCACTAGGCCACCAGGGTTTCCAGTGGAAACATAGGCACATTTTATTTTGCATTGTACACTTTATTTATTAGAATTTTTAACATGACACCCTACATTTTTAAAAGCCTAAAGGTGCAAACAAGGTGAAATTACTCATTGAAATATTTAAATCAGCTTACAGCAATTACATCACAGTATCAAAATAAAATCCAGCAGCCTGGAAGGTGGAGTCCCCTTGACCACCCATTTTGGAAATATAACTTCAAAAGGGAGGCTCTTCCCCTCAGAAGGAGTTAAGTGCACACTCTGTAAGGTGAGGGCCGGCAGGGAATGCATCCCCCATGAGGCCGCGATGAGGGCGTGGAGGTGGAAGGTTGTGTAGGGGAGAGATGTTGGTGAGGGTGAGGGTAAGTGAGTACATCAAGGCATTCTGTGGTTGAGGAAGAACCGGGAAGGGAGAGGAAATGGCGTCTGGACGGACCTCCGTGGAGCGATGGAGCGTTGTTCTCTGCTCGTCCCTCACCCTTTCTCTGCCCCCTTTGCTGAGTGAGTCATCCCTCCTGGCCTTACGCATTTACCAGCCATCACCCCCACAGAGAATATGTGAGCATTAACAAGCCACAGTGTGGGAAAGGCACCGAAACTCTGTGGAAGAAAAGGTGCTAGGTAAAAGCGAAGTGTGAATATGGTTGTGAACCTTGGGCAGCACCCTGGGCTCTTAGCTTAAAGGCGGCTTTAATGAGCAGTATCCATCAACCGAGACTTACAGACGTTTTCAGAAATCACCAGAGTACAAAAGCTATTCTGCCAAATGTGCACAGGCTCCAACCCAGTATCCCAGTGGCAGATGTTAGGTTGTAGCCCTGGGGACTGGAAGAGGTCTTAAAGCTCATCGATGTTAACCCTCCATTTAACACTTGAATCCCCTGTCCTGATAAATGGTCGTGCAGCCTGCAGCTGGGTGTAGTCGAAAGAGCAGGGGTTCTGGAATCAAACAGACGCGAGGCCAGATCCTAGCTCTTCCGCTTGTTGTCGCTTTAACCTAGAATGAATTCCCTAATCTTGCTAAGCTTTAATTTCCTCAGCTGTAAATTGTGAACAATATCAGCATTGCAGGGTGTTGTGAGAGGTAGAAATAACGTTGAAGGGCTTAGCACAGCCCCTGGTATTTAGCAGGACTTTAACAAGCAGTGGAAACCCTGATGGTGTAGTGATTAAATGCTATGGCTGCTAACCAGAAGGTCAGCTGTTCAAATCCACCAGGTGCTCCTTGGAAACTCTGTGGGGCAATTCTACCCTGCCCTATAGGGTCGTTATGAGTCGGAATCGACTCCACAGCAAGGGGTTTGGTTTTTTTTTTTTTTTAAATAAACATTAGCTGCTATACCAGTTACAATAATGATTATTAAATATCAATTTAAGCCTCTCCAGCCTCCTCTTGAATGTCTCTGTGATGAGAATGCTTCCATTGTAGGGCCATTGTAATGGTTATGCCCAATTATGTTTCCTGTAGCTTCTTTTGGAGCCCTGGTGGCACAGTGGTTAAGAGCTCGGCTGCTGACCAAAAAGGTGGGCAGTTGGAATCCACCAGAGGCTCCTTAGAAACCCTATGGGGCAGTTCTACTCTGTCCTATAGGGTCACTGTGAGTCAGAATCGGTTTTTTGGTAGCTTCTTCCATCCATCGGCTCTGGTTCTGCCTTTGTGGCCCCACAGAACAAGTGGAAACCTTCAAATAACACTTCAAATATTTGAGACAATTTCAATGTCTCTCCTGAGTCTTCTCCATAGTAAACCCTTTTAGTTCCTTGAATTCTTCCATAAATGACTTGATTTTGATCTCAGCCACAATACTTCAATCCCTTTTCCTCGGATAGGACCATCCATGGAAAGATGCTAGCCAGCCACAAAAGAAAGCTGAGGTAGCCAGTCCTAGGTCATGTCCATACTGAATAAGCCTAGGACTGTGTCCATAACGCATATGAAAATTCTAATGCGTAACCTACAAATACATTTCACAATTTCTCCTGTTTTTCACCATGGTTTCACCAGAGTGTTCAGGAATAAGTATATTAAGCACATGACCTGATTTATGGGGTTTAAGAGCTCACTCCTGGCTACCATGTGGAGAATGGGTTGTAGGTGAACAAGAGTGGAAGCAGGGAGGTCAACTAGGTCATTGCATCACAGTGCCAGCCGTAACTAGGATGGTGGCAGAGATGGAGAGAAATGGGCAGGTGTGAGAGAGATTTTGGAAGTAGAATCAAGACTTGCTGATGGATTGGATGTGAGGGCAAATGAGAAACCAAAGATGACTCCTAGGGTTTTGCTTGGGTAAGTGAGAGGATGGTTGGCGGTGCCATTTCCTAAATGGGGAAGAATGGAAGAGGGATAGGTTGGGGGTGGGAGGAAGGAGAGATCAAGAGTTTTGTTTCGATAGTTGAAGTTTGAAATGCCTTTTTGAAATGCCACTTAAACATTGAAGGGGATATGCTAAGTAAGTTGCTGGGCATACTAATCTGGTACTCAGGGCTGAAAATACAAGCGTGGTAGTGATCAGCATCTAGGTGGTATTTTAGCCAAAGGACTAGATGAGTTCACCAAGGGAGGGAATGTTTGAGAAAAGAAGCAGGGCAAGGTCTAAGCCATGGAGCACACTGGCATTTGTTTAAAATCTTCACAGACGAAGAGGAGACAGAAAAAAAGCCTGAGAAGCTGAGAGAGTGTGGGGTTATGGGAGCCAAGAGAAGAGAGTGTTCAGGAAAGAGAGAGACGGAACTTGGGTTGAATGCCACTGAGTCGTGAGGTAAGATGAGGACCGGCAAAGGACTCTTGGATTTGGCAATTTAGGGCTGGTTGGAGCCCTTGAAAATCAAAGAGGTAGTAAGATGGCGGAGACAGGGGTCAGAACAGAACGACTGAGAAGGGAATGGGAGGTAGAGAAGTGATGACAATGAGATTTTACTGAAACGGAGCAGAGAAGGAGAGAGGTAGCTAGAGAGAATGAGGGTTTTTCTTTGATTTTGTTCTAAGTACACGATGTTGTTGTTAGGTGCTGTTGAGTCGATTCTGACTGTACAACCGAACAAAACACCGCCCGGTCCCGCGCCATCCTCACAGTCATCGTTAAGTTTGAGCCCATTGTTGCAGCCACTGTGTCAGTTCATCACATCTAGGGTCTTCTTCTTTTTCACTGACCCTCTACTCTACCAAGCATGATAAAGTAGGGTTACTGGAGCACATTTAAAAGCCAACAGAAGCAAACCAGTAGAGAAAGAGAAGTTAATATTGCAGGACAGAAAGTGGGTAAACGCAGGCTCAGTGTCCCCGGGAAAGAAGTAGACCCAGAACAGAGTGGAAGTGGTAGCCTCTGAAAGGCCTTCCATGGTGACAGGGCATGGCAGGGAGAAGGGTAATGGAGTGCGGGCCAGTTGGCGGATTTGGTGATGGGAAGGTGAGTGATGCTGTCAGGTTGCTTATATTTTCTCAGTGAAGTATGACTTTAGGTCATCAGCTGAGCATGAGCCAGGACATCTAACCCAACCCAAACATACTGTGCCCTTCGTTTACTATTTGGTACACTTGGAAAAGAACAAAAACAATAACCCCTTTTGTATAATGTATTTTAAAGAGCTATACAGATGATGAAATAATTCTAGTGTGTTCTTTCATTTGATTCTGTTCTCCTGAATCATTCAAGTTCCCAGCAGGAGACAGAATTCACTGTCTAAATGAAGACACTTTAATGAAGGGCTACTTAGAGATGAGAGTGGGAGGATAAGATGTCGCACCCAGAGGCTCTCAGCAGCCAAAGGGTCAGGGAGAAGAATAGTTACTGGAGGCCAGTGAGAGCTGGTGCCATGGAAGAGGGGCCAGCTGCCGCGATCACTCACTGAAAAGGCACATAGCTGCTATGGGGGACATAGGGCCAACGTAGAGAGGGGCTGAGAAGGAACTCTCCTGGCCTCTCTCTCCTTCCCTCTCTTCATGGTGCTTCCCAGTGACTGAACCCAGCTGAAAGCCAGCTGGCAAGGGAGCCCGGGTGATGCAATCTATGTGAGTCTAGAAGGACAGGGACTAGATCTGGCATGGAATAACCAGCACAGCCCCTGGCACTTCATGCCATAAATATTGAAAAGATTTTGAAAACCACTCCAGGGGGGATCTTTATACCCAATGCCAGTGTGTAGAATGCATCTTATTATTTGACACCAGCTGGGATTTGCAAAACCTAGCTAACCATGCTCTTTGAGTCAAGTCATCATGGATACTTGGAATCCATAAATAATCCCCAAATGGAACGTTTGCCGACAGTCATCCTCCTTAATTTCCATCCAGAGGGATATTGTTCATGAAACTATGGAAGCTTACATTTCAGGGCCCGTCACTCGCATCACTTGCCCCTTCCCAGGCCACGGGAAGGCCTAGAAACGTATTCCTATGCTCATATGTAAAATGTGCAAATGTAGTATTTGCACTGCAGTTACTAAGACTGTACCTTTCTGACTCTGACTGTAGAGAGGACCCCCCCCCACCAACTGTATGAACTTTAGGCCCCACAAAACCTGGGTCTGCTTCTGCTTTTAACAAAGACTCAAGTGTACTGATGCAAGTTTTATCCCTTTTCCAAGATTTTACCACCTTTTTTTGAGGCGGAGGTGGTGGTTGGTTAATGAGCATCCAAATGGACATTCTGGGAAGGAGAGAACATAACAGAGGACAAGAAAAGCAGAGAAGGTGGGGACATGTGGTGCAAGGGGCAGTGAGTCCCAGAGGGTGGTCTGGTGTCCTGCCTAACTCAGATGCTGTTTTTATATCCTCAGATGCAGACGGGAACCTGTGTAGAAGTAACCAACTGCTGCAGGTCATACTGACTATGCACCGGATTATCGTCTCCTCTGCTGAGCTTCTCCAGAAAGTTATCACCCTATATCCTTTAGCACAGTGACCGGGAATCCCAAAATGGCAGCTCTTAAATGAACTCATTCAGAAGTAGCTTGAAATTTGTACTGCTGGCAAACTTTCTTAAAGTATACTTTCATTTTTATTAGTTGGAATAACCCTGAGTGGTGAATGGGTTCATATGTCCTTTCAAGGGGTACAGCTTGTGTGTGTGTGTGTGTGTGTGTGTGTGTGTGTGTGTGTGCACGCGTGTGTGTGTGTGTGCACATATGTATGTCTTCTGGTGGAGGTGGCGATATTATTGATGCTGCTTGTTCCAAGGGGCCGTCAAAGAAACCAACATGCAAACACCATCTCCTTCTGTATCCATTGCTAGTAAGAAATGCTTTTCCTGTAGAGTAATCAAAATTCATGTTCATCCTCTGCAAACTGACAAGGATGCACGTGACTCCAGTGACAAATTTGGTTCTGGCTCCCGTCCAATTCCTCAAGCTTCCCGAGGATCTGCAGAAAGCTTCCTGATGTCACAGCGTCTGGAGAATCTGCTGTGCCTTATTGCTGCAGGCAGAGACGGGGACTGTGTGCTGAGCTAGCCCTGCTGCGTTTCCACCTTCTTACGGGGTGTGAATGGGGGAGGCCGAGCGAGCGCCCGCCTTCTCCCTTTCACTGACGCTGTAAACCAGCGTCCTGAAGAAGATGGGGCTGCTGGGGGGGCAAACGGTTTAGCACCTGAGGCCCAGGTCGCTGGTAATGAGTCATGACTTGCGGCTGTGCTAATCCTCGGCCGCTCTCCTGACCCCCCCTTTCCATCTTAGGGTACACAGAAAACATAAAAGCCCTCAGCACTGAGTCCCTTCTCTCAATCTACTCAGAAATCCTGAGTTCTCATCTCAAGGGACATACAGAGCGCTAGGAGAGGCCCACGTAATAAGAGGTGCAGGTAATAAGGGGGTGCCTTGTCTGCAAAAAATTTAAAAACTATAATAAAACTGACTCAAAGTCAGCCTGCTTCTTATTAACTCCATGCACTGGCAATTCTAAACAACCTCAGTGATGAAATACTTCTCCTGGAAAAAATGATTTGTTGGTCTAAGTACTACATTAGCCCGGGGCTGACAGCTCCGACAGCCTCGCCCTTGGTTTACCACTGGGTCCCCTCCTGACCTCCCCCAAACACACACCTGTCACAGAGTCTTAGCTGCCAGCCATCTCCTCTCTCTCCTTAGGCTTTAAACCCTGCCTGCCTCTCAGCCTAAAACATATTGAGGAACCCCCAACCTAGAAAGAAACTCAAACCGACCTCCCCTTCATTGCATTGTTCGTGTTAGAAATTCGATGGGCAAGCTTCGTAAAATAGTCTGCACTCACTGTCTCCAGCCCTCACCTCCCACTCCCTCCTGAGCTCGGCGGGGGCCCTCACGCCTGTACTTGCCTGTGATGTCACCAGTGACGTCCCAAGTGCCAACGCCAGCAGCGTTTTTCCATCCTCGTTTGAGCTGACCTCCCAGATCGTTGGGCATTTAGTGACACCCCTGCCACTCACACTGTCCCTCCAGGAACTGCACCCCAGGCTCTCTTACTTCTCCATCTGATGTCTTCTTTGAGCACCTGTGAAACACGAGGCCAATGTCCTGGTTTTCTTCCCACTCTGCTTCCTTTCCCTGGGTGACTTCTTACCAGGGTTCCCACCGCGATGCCTCTGTGCTGGTGACTTTCAAGTCTGTGTTTCTCTAATTCAAATCATTTTTTTTAAGGCTTGGACTAGTTCATCCTGCAGATGCTTCCATCGTAACATGTTCAAAACCTAACTCATTAGCTCACCACCCCAACGTCCCAGCTACGACCCATTAATTCTGCTTCGGCGCCTGTCTTTCCCATTTCCGTTTCAGTTCATGGTGTCATCATCCATCCAGCTGCCCAGCCAGAAACGTCAGAAGCTCTTGACTCCTGCCTGCCCTTCCCCTCCTACACAGTCTGCCACCTCATCCTAGGGATTCTACTTCAGAGAGGACCGAGCCGGGCTCTCCCTCCGTTTTCCTGGCCCTGGCCCTGTCCGAGGCCTCTGTCCCGTCCTGGTCTTCCCGACGTGACTTCAGCGTGCACTGTCAGGATGGGCATTTACAGAGAAGGAACAACGAGCAAGGGAGATGAGCTGCACAGTAGTCACGTGCGGATTGAACAGATCCACTGAGCTGTTTTTAAAGAGAAGCATGCATAATTATCGTGCCTTTCCCTTTTACGAGAGAAGGAAAATTTCAGCAGCTAGATCAGCAGGTCCCCTCCGGTTCATTATTCACGTGACTCCCAAAGTTACTTTTCTAAAAAGGGAATGGGGTAGGCCACCACTTCAGAGCCTCCACAAAGCACAGGCTAAGTTCCATGCCCTTAGCGCAGCAGACAAAGGCCCTCCGAGTCTGACCCCAGCCTGTCCCTCCTGCCTCATCCTAGATCTCTCTCAGAAACCCTTGCCCTCTGCACTGAACTTCTCAACACACCAGACGGGACAGGTCCTTTTACAATTCATGTGCCTGGAATGCCTTTGCCTCCTCCTTTGCCTAGCAGATTCCCTCTTTTTCCGACCCCTCTTTGAAGCTTTCTCTGACTATTCCAGACCTCCCCCCTTTAAAAAACACATCGAATCTAACCCCTGGCACACCAGGTTGTAACGTACCTGTTTACTAGCCTGTCTTTTCCAGGAGACTCTGCTCCTCAAGGGCAGGGACCAGGGCTTATTTATCTGTGTTGGTGGGACGTAGCCTGGTGGCCAGCTCACGGTCGTTGCGGTGGTTCGTGTGTTGCCATAGACCTCCCGTGTGACGACGGCCCGCCGCCGGGTCCTCTCGCGGTTATTGTTGTCAGCTGCTGTCGCTTCCTTTCTGACTCCTGGAGACCCCACGCGTTACAGAGTACAACTGCGCCATAGGGTTGTCTCAGTTCTCGGCGTCAGTAAATGTTGAATTACCGTGGGTGCCAAACGCTGGGATACGTTTTCTCCAGCTCTCAGAACTTTCACGTGAAGAATCGGGGCTCCTGTGCCCCAGCTTTGCTCAGATTAAGACGTAACTTGGGGTGTGGGAAGGGATTCTAAGAAGACAGTATGAAATATGACCTCCTGTAATAGAAACCGGAGCCCTGGTGGCGCAGTGGTTAAGAGCTCAGCTGCTAACCAAAAGGTAGGCAGTTCGAATCCACCAGCTGCTCCTTGGAAACCCTATGGGGTAGTTCTCCTCTGTCCTCTAGGGTCACCGTGAGTCAGAATTGACTCAGTGGCAGTGGCTTTGGTTTTTTTTTTTGGTTTGGGTAATAGAAACCCAGGTTACATTTTTAAAGCAAAACAAGTCTTCCTTCACATTTAATTTCCCTGTTCTCTGACCTGGTAGTAATAGAATTGTTATAAATAAACTCACGTTTTCGTATTAGGCCATTATTAAAAGATAGAAATAAATTTAAAAGCCTGTTCGGAATCATTTGGATGCCTGAAAAGTACAGTCAGAACCCTAACTTGGACTTCACAGCCACAGCACTGGCTAGGCCGAGAAGAGGAGGCGTGGAGTCTGACGCTCTCCAGAAGCAATGACGTTTTTCCCCATCAGCTCCCTGAGCCTCTCGTTGCTCACCCGGTACTCACCCGTTTCTACTCATGCTGGGTGTTTGCTTCATCTCCTGAGGTTGAGAAAGCAGCCAGCTCCCTGTGCCGAGGTAGAGGGGCTCTCACGCCCGCAGGAGGCTTTTGCACCTGCTCTGACGAATGGCATCCTCAGTGCCCCACATGCTCAGCGCTCCCTTGTAGAATGACACTGGATTTCCGCAGATAGCACTGCCCCAGACGCAGCAGCACCCACTGTCAGAACGAACATTTGAAGGGAAAGATAAGGAGCGATGGCGGAGGAAGACAAACACCACAGTAAAAGCCACTGTGTTGATTGAATAGATCCCCTTAGTTGCCTTTAAAGAGAAACGTATTTATTATGCCTTCCTCCTTTACAAAGGAAGAAAAATAAAAAGTTCAACACGTAGATCAAATAATATAAATACTGTTGTTGTTTGGTGCCGTCAAGTCGGTTCCAACACACAGCAACCCCGCGTACAACAGAATAAAACACTGCCTGGTCCTGGGCCATCCTCACAATCATTGTTATGCTTGAGCCGACTGATCGTCGTTATGCTTGAGCCCAGTGTTGCAGCCACTGTGTCAGTCCATCTCCCTGAGGGTCTTCCTCTTTTTTGCTGACCGTCTACTTTACCAAGCATGATGTCCTTCTCCAGGGACTGGTCCCTCCTCCTAACATGTCCAAAGTACGTGAGATGAAGTCTCGCCATCCTTGCTTCTAAGAAGCATTCTGGCTGTACTTCTTACAAGACAGATTTGTTTCTTCTTCTGCAAGTCCATGGTATATTCAGTATTCTTCACCAGCACCATAATTCAAAGGCGTCAGTTTTTCTTCGGTCTTCCTTATTCATTGTCCAGCTTTCGCATGCCAATAAGGTGATTGAAAATATCCTAGCTTGGGTCAGGCACACCTTAGTCCTCATATGACATCTTTGCTTTTTAACATTTTAAAGAGGTCTTTTGCAGCAGATTTGCCCAGTGCAATATGTCATTTGATTTCTTGACTGCTGCTTCCATGGACATTGATTGTAGATCAAGTAAAATGAAATCCTTGAGAACTTCACCCTTTTCTCCGTTTATCATGATGTTGCTTATTGGTCTAGTTGTGAGGATTTTTGTTTTCTTTATGTTGAGGTGAAGGCTACTTACATACTGAAGGCTGTGGTCTTTGATCTTCATCAGTAAGTGCTTCAGGTCCTCTTCACTTTCAGCAGGCAAGGTTGTGTCATCTGCATATCACAAGTTGTTAATGAATCTTCCTCCAATTCTGATGCCACGTTCTTCTTCATATAGTCCAGCTTCTCAGATTATTTGCTCAGCATACAGATTGAATAAGTATGGTGAAAGGATACAACCCTGACACACACCTTTCCTGACTTTAAACCACACAGTATCCCCTTGTTCTGTTGGAACAACT